ACCCCTTCTTCCCAAATATCATGTGTTTTAAAAAAAAAAAAAAAAATCCTACTGGAAAGTCCTGGAAGCAATTTGGAGTATGAAATCCTCAAGGCTGCTGACAGGAGAGACCAAGGTGGAGCCAGGCCACGAAGAGACTCTGGAAGGAGACACAGTTATGGAGCTGGAAAGGAGGCAGGAGGTGTTCCTTGTTGTGGACTGTGAGGTGTCCAGACTGGATCCAGATCCCACAGGGAGCGCATCCTGGCCCAGTAATAGCCTCTGGGTGCAGCACCAGTTCTGGCGGGAGAGTGGATGGAGGCTCCCCAGCTCTGCATCAGTCCAGCCCCAGGTCCGAGTCGGACGACAACCTCTCCTCAGCCATATCGCGGATGGCATTCTCCATGGGGGCCAGGTTGCCGCTCGGCGTGATGCCCATGGGCTGAATGACTTGCTCTCTGCAACCAGGGAGGAGAGGGGGGAAGGTAACACAAACTGGCAGCTGACAACACGGGAACAGACAAGTACTACAGCAGAAATGTAGGGCTTGTGGAAACCACCTGGAGACAGCCCAGAACAACCCCAGGCCACCACTAAGAATCCCTTTTCAGAAGTGGGGGACAGTTCTAGCCATAAAACCTCCAGCATGGTGAGGTGATGGCTGGAAGCACAACCCACAAGTGTTGCCATTCTCAGGTGCCCTGGAATAGGCTAGTTTAGGGTCCTGTTCTGTGTGGTACAGGATTGCCAGAGGAGAACTAGCACTGGCATTGGCGCTCCTCTCCCTCTAACACACGATGGCAATACGTCCATTAAATGCACTGCCCTTTTCCTTCCCACCCTTGGGGGTGGTCTGAACTCAGTTGGCAGACTCCAGGTTCCTCTGTGGCACCTATTAATGATGGATGAAAGATGACTAGAGAAGGCACTCCTGCAGGGAAACGGATTGGTGATACTGGCTGCTATCTGTCCCCAAAACACCGCTTCCTCCTGAGCCCCCTGCCAGGACAGTGGCTGCTGCTCTTACTGAGCACCTGGCCAAAGCTGGTGAGGCAGCAGGTGCAGGCATATAGAGGATTTTCCCAGCATGCCATCATGCCAAGAGGTGTATGAGGCTTGCAGTGCCTTCCTCTCCACATAACGGGGCCCAGCTTAAGGAAATATTTCCCCATGTATCTCCCCCACTGTCACTCACATCCCTTCAGTTAGTGGTGGCCTTGGGAATACATTCAAAGAAAGGTCTGAGATAAATGTAAATCACAGACATGCAGGTGCTAGTGCAGATGTGAATATACACATTTTTCTAGTACCTGGACAATTTGTCAAACATGTTGACTAACTTCATGGCTTCATATTCCTTCTGCTCTTCGGTCATCCCTTCCATGGGGTTGGGTAGTTTCTCCTCGACACGTCCTGTCACAGGATTAATGCTGCAAGAATAATAATGAGGCCAAGGCAAAGGAGGGAGGTAAAAAATGGCTGTTTAAAAACTTTCTTTGCTTCTACTGAGCACAGGAGCACAACAGCAAGACTAGTCGTCATTGCTGCTTGTCTCGTTAGCCCCAAGTGCTATTGCAGTGCAACGCGGTGCTTCCAACCTCTTTCTGTCTTATGCACAGTTGTCCCCCCTAAAAATCTTTCCTATTTCTCTGGTGCGAGCAACATCCCCATCCTGCCAATTCCACAGTGCAGTTTTAAAACAGGTGCACAAGGACAGACAACACTTCTTCCCTCTCCTTAAGTCAGCAGGCTAAAAGCTAGCACAGGGTGGGGAAAAAAAAAAAACAAAACCCAACCTGTAAACCACATTGAACAGGATGCTAGAAAGTATGGGACACACAGCTGGGCACAGTCCTGGAGCTGCCCCTGCACACCCCTCATCCTCCATCCACCACCCACTAGCAGGCAAAGACCAAAAAAACCCCAAACCCCAAAAAACAGCTCACTCCAGCAGCACAGGGCTCTAGAAACGGAGAGGAGTAATTGGCACTTCCAACCCTACTGCAAGAAAGGACCACCCTTATCCCAGAGCACAGTAAAAGCCTGACACTGTGGAGAGATGTGTGAATGCCAAAAAAAGCGTGCAAGATCCGGATTAGAGAGAGATATACTGCCACGTGCACACCATGAACAGGTCTGGTGCAGAATGGGCTCCAGCTGAAGGAACCCAACTTGCTCTAGAGCCTGTGCCCAGCTGCAGGGACCAAATATATGCACCAGTGACCACGCACACTGTGAGCAGCTACAGCTACAGAGGCATTCCACCCAAGGAACAGGCAGAGAGGGTGGAACAAGACAAAAGTAAGGGTGAAACTGTTCAGTAATGTGGAAGGAAATGTGCATGTGAAAGAGGAGGACAAGGGAGATGGCAGGGAGGCAGATGAAGAAAGGGACAGAGCAGTAATGGGAAGAAGGTGTAGGAAAAAGGGTGCTACAGAGGGGGAGCAGACTTCTTTACTTGGGCTTTGCCTCTTTGTACTCCTCAGTGTCTGTGTCTTCATCTTCTGAGTACTCTCCCTCTTCCCGACCACCAGCCATGAGGCCTCGTGCTGCCAGGAGCCCAGCTGCATTCCCGTAGCCCGTGTACTTCACAAACCGCGACACTGCCAGAAGAAGGGGAGAGAGACCACCCTGTGCTTCCTCTCCTGCCTCTCCAGCCCCATCTGCTCCTGTGTGCCCCAACAGCAAGATCGGTGCAAGGCCATCGAGACCCAGAAATGCCCAATGCTTCTTTGCGCTCTGACAGGGAGCAAGGCTCCCACACGATGCACCAGGAACAGCAGGGACACCACTCACGGGGTGGGGGTCTGAATGCAGGCCAGGTTGTCTGCAGGGTGTTGGGTGTCCCCTGGCAGAGCTTTTCATTCACTGCTGGCATGAGACAGCAACTCCTTCCCACAGAGCACTTGGATATTCCCCACTTTCCCCTACCCAGTGTGTCTGGCCTAAGGGAAGACAGAAGTTCCTGTTGGCTGCAGAGGGTCACCCATCCCACGCTCTCTGGCTTGCCCAGAGGCCAAAGCACCAGGCCTCCCTGTCACCAAAGCCCACAACAAGCCCCTGAAACTCACCGCTCTCTTTGCAGAGCACAAAGAGGAACTCGGCTGCGCAGTGCTTCACGTCGGTGTCGATGTGGGTCATCAAACGCACCAGCTTGTTCCGCAGAGAGTTCCCCACCTCTGGCCGATTCTTCACGTCTCGGAGTGGAGGCAGCACCTACAAGGGCACAGTGAGGGGTGATCAGTGGAGCTGGAACAGCAATGGCAGGTCAGATGGGGGGCGGGGAACCAAGACATATGTGTGTTTTACAACTCAGCTAAAACTAATAAATCCACAGAGTGTAGGAGATGTGGAAAAAAAAATATTGTGGGTACCAAAGGCCCCAACAACCCATATATCTCTATATAGAACCTAGTAGAGAGCTAGAGGAGGTCTCTCTGGAGAATGGCAATAATCAGGTGGTTTGCTATTCTCCTCTCTCCTCAGTGCATCACTCATCTCCATCATTCAACTTTGGGCTGAACTACAGCATACCTTTGCCTTCAGGAACTTCCTCGTCTGGCGGTGGACTCGGGCACTCTCAGTCAGCAGGTTCAGCACAGGGGTCAAACTCTCCTTCAGCTTGTGTCCCTGCAGAAGCATCCACAAAACAACCAACACATTAGTCACACTCAGCTCAACTTGTCTGGCTAGTGGTGGAGAACATGAGTACAGACCATCAGGGAGACAGATGGACACTGAAGCTTTCCAGCCTCTGCTACAGGAACCTCAGTGCTTCGTCACTCCTCAAACTGCATGGTTTTCCAAGCCCTGCTCTGTGGCATGGCAGTGCTAGAAATACTTGTGTACGGCATCCAGACTAGAGAAGGGCAGTGGTAAAATTTGGAGGCCCTTTGGAATAACTCCAGAGTCCGAAAACCACAGACAGCTTGGAAATAATGCAAATTCAGGCTTCCAGAAACTGTCCACTGGATCACTACCGAGTTGAGTGAAATGGAGCACCAATATTTCAATCGCCCTGCTAATCATCTACTAGTCCCACTACCCACAGTCCAGAAAGCAAATACACAGTCACCTTCCCAGTTGACAGATGTTGTTTTAGTCCTACCAACCACAACAGTTTCACCTCTGCTAAAAACTGCCCCTTCCATAAAGGGATATCTCCAAACTAACCATGCCTTCCTGGTGCTCCTGTGGGCTGGGCACTGGGTTGGGCACTGGGCTTTTCAAGGTTGAATGCAGGCTGAAGGAAAGGTGCCTGGCAGCGAACTTGTGAAAATGAGCAGTGAGGAACTCACACAGCAGCCTCACAGCTTACCCTGTCAAGGCGTCGCTCTAGGAAATCCAGCAGGATGCTGACTGCATCCATGTTGACACCCATGTACTCAAGCGAGCCTGGACGGACTTTTGGGGTCAGGAGGACATCCAGACATTTCAGGGGCAGATTACCCAAAAGGTTAACCGTATGACTAGACATATAAAAAAAAAGAGAAGATAAGTGAACACATAGTCATGGATCTTTGTTCACAGAAGTTCTTCAGCCGTCCAGAAATGAAGATTTGTCACTAACTTCCAGGAGTGTGAGGACCCTGAGATCCAGGTTGTCTTTGGATTGCATCCCAAGCTCCTTACACCACTAAAAGGAAGTAAATTAAACTGCTTTTTGGGTAGTTGAACTATTTGCTGGGGGTCCAAAGAGACTTCAGTGACAAATGAGAAACCACGGATCTTGACACAGAGGCCAAGTTAGGACCAATCTGGGTGGTCAATGGTCTTCCTCTACGGCCTGCTGCTGCATCACTCCTCACCTTCATGGTCAATGCAATGCATTGCTTCAGATTCCTCTGACTATAGTTTTCTTGGGGACAAGATGGTGTCACCTGCCCAAAGCTGACACCCCTGGGCCAATAATGCTAAGCAATGTGAGAAAGGGAATCGCTCAGCATGGCTCAAGAGACAGACAGTTAATTACAGCCACTCCATGGACTCTTTAATTAAAGTACCAAACATCTGCTCTGGCAGGTTGCCCACTGAAGCAGGTGGCACTGTTGAGAAGGCCTGACACAGGGTACTGAATAAGGCCCTGGATGTCAGGCAGGCTTGGAGAGAACACTTCCTCTTGTAGGCCGGGAGGCTGTGGCATTAGCACACATAATTTGACTGTAGGAGGGGCAGGGCTGCTCCAGAGTTCTAGCAGCATGAGGAGCTGCAGGCCAAACCAAAGATGCAAGCTTGTCAGCAGCGACCTTAGCAATCACCAAACAAGCAGAGGGTGTTAAAGCCAAGGTCAGGCAGGATCTGCTTTGGGGAGACCTGTTTCTAGTGAAGATCACGACCTAGTTATCTAACAAAGACCTGTGGAACTCCTCTGTCCGATCCTCTCCATCAGCAGAGATCATGAGGCAGTGGCGCAGGAGGGCACCCAAGTGCCGGTACAAAGCAGCATCTTCCTGGTCCCAAAACAGAAAATGAAAACCTTGATCAGGAAATGGGATCCTCCACACCGCAGAGCCTGCTGCCCCTGCAGCCCACAGCCCCATCCCTCCCTCCAGCAGCCTGGTAACTGACAGCAGGCTGTTTAAGTGGAAGTAGCCTCCCCATTCTCCATCTGAGGTCAATGCATAGTCTTCCTGCTGCTCAATACCTTTCCCCTCACTCTATGACACTGGGTCAAGGGCTGGAAGAGGCCCCAAAACAGGCCCGTGGATTAGCCAGAGATGTTTTCAATCACACCTTCCTTTGACCTTGTCCAGAAGGTGGAAGAGTACCAGGCCACACTCAGAAGCAAGTTAGTTATCTGGGGCCTCTGCTCTCCCACTTGGGCAACAAGTCATGTCATTAAGAAGGAAAAATACCCAACTTTTAAATTGAAATGCTCTAAAAGTCTTAAGGGTTAATAATGCGTTGGAAAGAGGCAGCGCTCTAGGGAGGAAGGCCTAGACACACAAGTCTCTTGCTACCTTTACATGCATTGGGGGCTGCATGAGGGCCAGCATCTAATACAAGGAAATCCAAGCGGAGGAGAAAACCAGTAGTCAACCCACAGCCCAGAGACATGCGAATGTAGTGGGGTGGGACACCCAAGGAGCTTACCTCATCCACCTCCCTCTTGCTGGAATCAAAAGTAATATTGAAGAGCACTTTCAGGATCTCCATGGCTCGCTCTGTCTCCTGCCGAGGCAAAGGTGGGAGAAGTCCCTCCTCGGTGGCAACTTCATAGGGGTCCATCCACTTTACACCAAGGGTCAGCTCCAGGGTATCTGTCATCAGGCTGATACCCCTGAGCTCTTGGGCCAGCTGCTGCCGGATGTCCACTCTCAGCGCCGTCAGCAGGAACAGGAGACGCAGGTCAAAGAACTTCACTTCGTGAGGAAGACTCCTCTCGTTGTACAGTTTGATGCGCTTGGCCAGGCCCACTACCAGCCGGGCTTCAGCTGTCAGCTCCTGTGCCCTAGGGCTGCTGAAGACAACGTTGCAGAGACATTTGAGGGATTCCAGGATTACATCCAAGTCTGGGACCTCCCGGATGAGCTCCTCTGAGTAATCAATGCCAGCATGCCTGGAGAGGGTCTTCACGCCTTCCTTGGTGGTGAAAGGGTCAAGGCAGTATTTGTCCCGGGACAGGATGCGGATGCTTTCCAAACAGGTCACCTGGCAGGACGGCTGCAGCTCTCTTTCCAGGAACTTGATCAGCAGCTGGGCCATTTTCTGTGCAGCAGGAAACAAGTAATGCCTCGTGCACTAACACTTCACAGGGCTCCCCCCCAACCCCATAATGCTCTGCCCTGGAAGACATGTGCATCACCTAGAGACAGGCCTGCTAACGGCTCTGATTCAGGTGTGCACTTGGCAGCACTCGAGAAGTGTTTGGCTCTGGCACCTGATCACTTCGAGCAAGGACACCCAGCAAGAAACAAAGGACAGTTGGGAGAGGGTATCAGATGTAAGGGGACAATATGAACATGCTACTATTGCATACTTTAGCTTCACCCGTGGTTAGGATGGTTCAGGCTAACATGGCTTACTTGACAGCTGCATTAAGCAAAGAGAGCAGTGCAAAAATGTCCCTTAAGGCTTCACTGAGAAGCAACAACCGACTCAACAGCTGTTCTCTGCTCCCAACCAGAGCCTTAAGATTAGGGAGGTATCTGCTTTGGGTGCTCCAGAAACAGACTGAAAATGTTGAGAGACGTGTCAGAAAATCTCTAAGGGAGGGTAAAAGGACCTAAGCGAGGCGAGAAGAGCATGTGATGCCCTAGGAAAGGAGGTGAAAAGACCTCAGGAGATTCAAGTAAGTAGTATCTCCCTAAACCTCAGTGCTGTCTGGAGACCTACTAGCCCAGATCCTCAGTAGGTACAGACTGGCAGAGCTCCACTAACACCAATTCACAAGAGCTGAAAAATCTCACCCTCGTGGATAACAGCACGGTACATAACAGCAAGCAATGGAAGAGTGTAAGAGCAAAGTTTGGTTTGAACCATGTGTAGCAACTCTTCACATTACACTAGTAATCCACTGCACACAGTCACACCTCAGTGAGGTAAGATCTCACTACACCTCTTTAACAAAACACCTTATCAGAGCACATGTCTTTCCACACATATTACAAGAGCAAAGGAATCCAAGATTGCAAGGTTTGCTATCCGTGTAAATGGCTTAACACAACCTAATCAGTTATACTTCATCATAATAAAAGGACTGAGGGAAGGAATGAAGAAAAAATTCATTTTAGTCCTTAGTGTGAGGCTGGCAGAACTGAACAAGCTTTAGGTCATGAAGTATGCCCCACAATCACACCCTTGAGAAGTGAGAAAGTAGTGTCACTCCTCTTCTCCTTCTATACTAGGAGGCAGAGACACAGGAGTTAAAGACACAATCATAAGTCACCAAAGCCCCTAACTGACTCAGGTTAAAGTGACCTCAGAGCACGTGCCCAGGGCTAGACCTCTGGAAGAACTGGGCACCAGGAACTAGATGGTGATGCTCAATTCATCTTTCATGACATACACCCCAAAAGTGGAGCACCCCAATGCTGTGCCTGAATTCAAAGCCCGTGTGACTGTCCTAGCTCAAACAGCAAGTCAGTGCAAGGCAAAGAGCTCAGATCTTGTGAAATCCAATCCTACACATCAGGCTGTACCTGGAAAAACTTCATGCTAGCTTTAGCTATCACCCAATGAATTGACGCAATCACCCAATGAATTGGACCACAAAACTGATTCAGATGGAAAATAATCCAGGAAAGAGAGTTACTCTTTAGACAGAGCAGCCCACCAACCATGTGCAGCCATGCAAAGGTCTGCCCTGGCATGAAAGAACTCGAGTTCTTTCTCTGAGGGATCGAGTGCTCCCTCTAAGTTTGCAGAT